TTTTAAAAAAAAAAAAAAAAAAAAAAAAAAAAAAAACTAGAAGCAGCGTTTTTTTTTTTTTTTAAAATAGAATATTGAAAATATATTTGTTAAATAGTTTTGAAAAAATAATAATTTAGAAAATAAAAAGTGGTGCTTTAAAGATAAATAAATAAAATAAATAAATAAAAGTGGTTGAATTAATTATAATTTATTTTTTCACGAACAAATTTGGAGGACCTCACAAGATTCCGAAAATTGAGACAGCCTCTCCTAACAAATTGCTTCCGATCCACATTTGGAATTTAAATTCAGATTTTAATTTTTGAGGAAAATCATAAATAATGTATTCGATCCAAAAATAAGGAGAATTCAACGGAAAATACCTGAAGCTTTCTTCGTCTCCTTCCTTCGATTCGAGCTGGAACATTCAATCCAATCTCCATGGTGTGCTGAAGCTTAATGTTGTTCTGTAATTACGATTTCCAGGGAAAATAAATGATCCATTGATTGTTCTGAAATCTGCATTCAATTCCATTGCACATTATCTTCTTCTTTCTGTGATCTTCGAGCACGGAAGGTTGTTTCAATGTCGTTACTTGAGGAGGGTCGTAGCCTCGCCGGCTATACACTCGATGACGTTTTGGCTAACAATAGATTTGGGCCGCCGGCCTCTGCAACTGCAAGGGCTGCCGAAATCCGAGGCCGAACCCTACTCGACGTGATCCGCGACGAGGAGCCAAGCGCCGCCAAGGGGCTTTTCGGAAAGGACAAAAGGACATGGAAGTCTTTTAGGGAGAAACTCCGATTGAAGCGCGCCGGTTCTGCTTGGGTCTCCACAGTTCCGATTCCAACCTCCGATATGCCTTTTCAGCCTAAGCGATCCCTAATGGGGAAGCGGAGTCAAGTCCGGTTCAACACGCCTTCGTCGCGAAACTCCACCGATCATTCCGCTCGTAATCCGTCTGAAGAATCCTCCAAATCCTTTCGCCGTCAAGTATCTCGACAGAGTTCCACAATGAACAGTTCCAGCGATTCGACTCCGTTCCAATACGACGAGTCCTTTGATTATTCATCCGTTCCGGATTCAGCGCCGAGTCGAATGAGACCGCAAATGTCGCGTCACAACTCAATCCGGATCCCAAATCCAACGGAGAACTACACCGATCCAACTGAATCAGATCGTGATAACCGAGTCCGACATATAAGCTCCGCCTTCTCGGAGCGGAGAATGATGTCCGCTAGAGAAACAGTAGCAGCACAAGAAGCAGCCGATGCAGCCGCCGCCGCCGCCGCAGCGGAAGCTGCAGAAGAAGAGAAAGAGAAAGAGAAAGAGAAAGAACAAATCGAAAACGAAGACGAAAATGAAAACGTAGAATCAACAACAGGATCGGAGGAATGGGAGAAGGTGTCACCTACGTCGGAGCCTGTTAGGATGTCGTTGATGGATCTGTTGCACGAGACTGACAGAGAAATGGGGTTCGAAGGGTCGAATTACGGAATGGGGTTCGAAGAAGATGGATTCTCCGATGAGGAAGACGTTGCATACGAAGAAGATGAAGACGATGGTAGTGGCGGAGAATTCAGCTGCTGCGTTTGCATGGTGAAGCATAAGAACGCGCCAATGGCGCCATGCGGCCATACATTTTGCAGGCTCTGTTCGAAGGAGCTTATGGTTAGCCGCGGGAACTGTCCCACTTGCAACGATTTCATCTTGGAAATGCTCGAGGCTTTTTAATTCTTCTTCCTTACCACCAATTGTTTGAGGATTTTAATGTTTTTCTTTTTGCCCCCACACCCACAAAGATTAGTTCATGTAAAGGGAGAGTTTCAATCTTTCAATTCCCCAAGTGTATATGATTATCAATTTTTAATTTAATTTGTTTCATAAAGTTTCAAACATTTCTAACTGATTTAAGAGACTAGAAAATTGGGCAGTCTAACATTTCAAGTGCTTAAATACCATTTTTCAATTGTCGGCCCGTAATGGGTCAAAGCGGGGCTTAGATATTGGGCCCTCGATGAGTAAATTGTGAGCACATCGAGGATATGCCATCTTCAAGGAGATGGATTGTGAGATGAAGAGGAGAACGAGGCATCGTTTCTTACAAGAGTCGATTGGAAAAAGGAACAGGTCGATTGGAAATGCTCGAGCCTAGAAAATTGGGTCAATGGTCTAAAAGTTGAAACAATGTCCAAACTTCTTTATGAAGCATAGAAAGAAGAGTCCAGAAGACAGGCTCAGAGAGCAAGGCTTCTCAAGCACATCTTTTCACCTATTTTCTCTTTAACCAAGAGCCTGTAAGGCTGTAAGGCTGTGAGACAATAAGATCCTACTTGATTCTCATATTTCCACGGTCAACCAAACACAAAAGCAGGAAAAATAAAAAAGCTGACTGCAGTTTTCAAGCTTTCCACCAAAAGATTTTGATTACAGGAGAGTTCCACAAGGCATTAAGAATAAACATAATGATAAGGAGTGTTGTTTTCCAAGTCTAAAATGACACGAACCTTACGGGTATCGAACTCGAACTTGAACTCGGACTCGGACCTACAAGAGTTTGCTTGGAGGCATAAACATATTAATGAAGTTATATGATTAGGGATTCCAAGGGCAACCCTATTGCTCCTACCCATCTCTCTCTCTCTCTCTTTTCTATACCAAAAATGAACATTAATCAGCTTCTGTACTGCTTACTACATGGCCATGACATTTTACAATTCCCTCAAGGATGACCTGAGGGGCGGCAAAAGGAACGTTTGGATAGCGAGAATCGTTATACATGGTTTGTTCAACCTCTGGTCCTCATGATTGTAATGCTGCCCTTTCTACCTTCAGTATGAATCTTGGTTTTACCGACGACAGGCTTACCGGAGAAGGCTGATGTTGGGTATGATTGAGATGGGTCTTCAGGTTGATGCTTCAATTTTGAAGGTGGAGGCGTGCGGATCCGCTGGTTTATGTCCTTCAAGGTGACATCTCCATGGAATCCACAGGGTTTGATGAAAGCAAATGGGTAGGCAACTGAAGAAGCTAACTTAGTCGGAGTTCTAATATACGACTTTCGACCTGCACGTATAGGCAATGTGGGAACGTAAAGCAATGAACACGGTATATCAACATTGTAAAGAAACCGTCAAAAGGTCAAGAGCAGAATAGAACCTTTAAATATTATGTTCCGAGGAACTCGAGTAGGATGATGTTGGACCGCGTTAGATTTGAACTCAGGTGCAACATTACAAAACTCTACAAGTTCAAATTAACTAGTCATCTTCATAACGATATATAAACGAACACAAATAGTAATGAAATTTTACTTTACCTGATACATCTATTTGATTGTCCGAAGTCCCAGCAAAGTTCCTGAGTTCCACATTATAAGGAATTCATATAATTGAAACTAATAATTAAAAAAATGGATGCACACAAGGCACATACAAATCCTCAGGGCTGCAATGCATATCAGCATCATTAAGGCAATCAGCAATCCAACCTTCAGGTGAGTGATCCAAATTCTCAAGACAAGAAGTCGGCACATTAGCTAAGGCAAATATATAGAGATCAGACAAATCCAAGAGGCAAACAAGTACATCGATACACAATTTTTTACATTAAGTAGTATCTTGCTCGAGACAAACCTGAGAGTCCAGAGCACTCGGGAATCTCGTATGGAACATCAGGGAGAGCAGCAGGACTAGAAACATCCTTATTCTGAAAATAGAACAAAACAACGTTACAAATTTCACACAAATTATATAGTTTGGTTGCTTGGTGTCACGGTTGTACTTTACAGAAAAGGCACATGAGAAGCCTGCTTCGGAACATAGATATTTACATTTGTTAAGCTATTTAAAAAGACAAAGTAAACTCCTACCAGTGTTGTTCATCGTTAAACCTTGTCTGCCGAATATTGGCAAATACATAGTACGCAATAACATATAACTTGAAAAGTTAACGCGTTCAACACAAGTCTTTCTGAATCCTTTGTTCATAATGACACTTGCTTATCAAGAGAAGCAGGAATTGCATATCACTTACATGTGATTTTAGAAATCTAGAAGACAAATCTTCACAGCAGAGTGAAGTTTCGAGATCTTGTGCAGTAAACTGTAACATACGACGTCTCTTCGCTTGTGAATGAGTTTCCCTGGATTCTTCTGATTTCTTGTTGCTGTCATCTGAATATAAGTGTAAACTTCAGAAAAAATGATTTCCTTGGAGGTAACTGAGGGGTTAGAGAAGGGTGTAAAGTCCTTACCATTATGCGTGACATGGTATGCCAAGTCCCCGCAAGCTTTAACCGGAGTTGTTTCATCGAACACATACGAAAGATCGTCATTTTCAGACACCCCGTCCCAAAGGCATTCTGATATAAGTTCATGACAATGACAACAAAAGAGATAACAAGAATGAGCAAGCATAACACCTACAAGATTACATAATGCATAAAAAACAAAACAAACCAGAAACTACTCACCTAAATCGGTATCCTTCTGGATGGTATATCCATCTCCATCCCAATTCCAAGAATCACTGAAAAATTACACATTAAAGCAACAAGAATGTACGATTATGAGGATGCAGCACTTACTACCAAAAGAGAAATTGAAAACAATTTGGTTCAATCTAATAGCACACTAAACCACGCTTCTTGAGGAGGAAGGGGAGGATTTTCTCAACAAATGAACAAAACAACAACCATTTATCTGAAAAGGAAATGATTAAACAATTGGGATCCGAAAGAGGACAAAACCGCAAGAACACTACAAACAACATAGCGAGTCATTAGCTCTCGATGTTTCAGTACATCGATGACAAAACAATCCGTCAAACACACACACACACACACAAACACAAAAGAAAACAGTAATGCAATGGCCACTACTTAAATTAGATCTAACAGCCGCATCCTAATTCCCATTTCAACCACAAATTACCGATTACAGACAAGAAAATCATGGTAAATAAAAGAAACAACTCAATCCGACAACAAACTCCCAAAACTCCCCACACCAATCTGAAACAAAAACCAAAAGCAGCTTCCTCCAAATACGAAATCAACAAGAAGTGCTAGATCTTCCAGAAAAGACGCATTACAGCAAATCGCAAAAGAAAGCCCCAGAAAACAAAATCAATCACAGAAACAAACAGAAAGAGCAGAAGGTTGAGGGCGATGATTTTACTTGTTTTTGGCGGAATCGTCCATTGTTGCAAGAGAAAAAGAAGAGTGCCAGCGGCGAATTGTTCTTGACTGCGATCGAAAAAGATGCGATTGAAGAGCGACCCAGTTCAGCCGCTGGATGTTGGATTAGGGAGCTAGATAATGGGGGCTATAGACGAAGAAGGAGAAAAAGTGCCCACTAACCAAGTAACTCGCAACCCAGCGCCTAAGTTCTCCTTTTATTTTCGGTAAAAATACATTTTTAGTAAGTGACATTTGACTATAATTTTCCAGTTTTTTTCAATTTAGTCCTTAAATTTTAAGTTTATTTCATATTTAGCTAATTAGATCTTAAGATTTTACATTTTTACCATTACAATTAAAAAATTATGGGAAAAAGTGTAAATATTTATAATTTAAGGACGCTAAAAAATAATAACTTATCCTCTTTTAATTTTAATTTTCTCCGCTTTCAAGACTTCCGGGTCGCTTTTTTTTTTTTTTTTTTTTTACCATTCCACAAAAAAAAATCGAAGTAAAAAATTCATGTAAAAACATATTTATTTATTTATTACCACCCGGGTAAATATTCTCTAAGTCAATTTAAAGTCTTTGGTTGTTCTTTTTCTTTTAAAATATAGTATTTTAGGTGTGTGGACATGGATTTGAATTTTTAATCAATAAAATAATAATAATAATAATAATATTTTAGCTATTAAATTAAGTTCAAATTGGCATCTATTTTTAATAATTTTTATTTGATAATTTTTTTTGAATTATAGTCAAATTTTGAAAATTATTTTTAAGAGTAAAATGTAGAAGGGAAATTACAAACTATTTTATAATATACATTCACTTATATTTTGAAAATTTTGAATTAAATTTAATTAATATATAATTATTTAGTTTATTAAAATATAATTTAAACGGTCAACTTTAGTGTCTTTAATTATTTATTATTGGTAGGTTTGGATTTTCTCTTTTTCTTATTTTATTGCAATATATTTTAAAAAGGTTTGTTCTTTCAAAATAGGATATTTTAAAATATTTTTATAATTATTCCCACAAACTTAAGTATATTTCCGTGGCTAAGATACGAATTATTAATTATTTTAAATAATATTTGATTTTTCACTAAAAATGTAAATCACAATTGTGGGCGATGCATTGACACGTGTACGGTGGGATCAATAATTGAATAGTATCACGCCCTCATTGAATTGAGCCGTTGGGGCATTAAATTCTTTGGCCAATTGGAATCCGGATAATAAGACAATTAAATAATATTTTATTTCCGAATATATTTATTAATGCTTCAAATTCCATTTACTTTCCATCATTATTATTTCCTTTTTTTTTTATTTATTATTATTCCAAAAAATGATTGGTACATGAATGAATGGAGCCTACGTCTAAAAATAAGCTTCTCTTTGATATACGATCTCATAACTTCTAGTATTTGAACACTTCTAATGGAAATGCAAGCTACGTCGGACAGTATGCCAGTGAGGACGTTAGGCCTCTAAAAAGGCGGATCATAAGCTTTCACATCGGTTGGAGAGAGTGTTTTAAGATCGTGAAGTTAATGACGATATATTCTATTTTAATAAATATAAATAAATGTAAAAGAAAAAATAATAAGTGGGCAATCCTTTGACACGTGTACGGCGGGATGGGTAAGTCAACAGTATCACGCGCACATTGAATTGGAATCCGGTAAGGGAAAAGTAAATAATTTTTTTTTATTTCCGAGTGATATTTATTAAATTCCTGGGCCAATTGGAATCCCATAAAAAATTCAATTGGGCTTTATTAGTGGGCCTAATTATTTGGGCTTGGGCTTTGTTTGCTTTGGACCCACTCCTTTGAACTTTGAATTTAACCCAATTTGACTAAACTGAATCTAATTATGGTTAGAGTCAAATACTATTTATAATTTAAGATTGGTCAACTTTATTTCGAATTAAATTTGTGATGCATATTAATTTATATTTGTCGTTAATCTAAAAATAATGACATGTTAATTCTAATTTCCAAGAAATTATAAGGGATTATCTAATAAAATAAAATAAAAAATTTGTATGTTTGGAATACTAAACAAAATACTCAAATGTCTAAGTTTAAGGGTATAATAATAAACATAAATTTTTATGAATAATTATGCAATTTTCTTTTTTTAAATAGGTATATTGAAAAATAACTTTATATGGATTAAAAGATGTATAGTTAATTCGGGGCTACTCTCTCGTGATTGACTAGAGAATGAAGGAGATTGGAGACGAAAATTAATTCATCATCCTCACTTGTGACTATAAATAAATAAATATATATTGAACATTATATTAAAAAATAAAATTATATAATTTTTAATATATATATATAAAAAGATGGAAAAAAAATGATTGGGAACCGATCCATGAATTCTTTGAAAAATTGTCGCTTTTTCAAAATAAAAATAAATTGATAATTTTACGAGAATATGGATTGAAATAAGAGGTGGAGATCGAGACGAGGATGCATGCTTGCTTGGTAGATATCTATAACAAATTTTTACACTTATAATTTCACGAAGCTATTTTTGCAAAAGAAAAAGGCAAAAATACAAATTTGAAAGCTATTTTTCAAAAGTATATATATATATATAAACGCCACTTTCCGAATCCACCGTATACGGTAATGTTAATTTTGCGGTAAAAAGATACATAAGAACCAACTCGATGCGTCGTGGGGAAAGGGGGTAAGGGTAACAACCGAAAACGGCAATCGGGAAGCTTCTCTGCTCCATTTTTTCCGACTTCTGAGGTTGCGGTTTCATCAATCTCAGCCCAGAAGGATTCTATTCAGAGCTCAGATTTTGAGATCGGCTTCCTATTCGCTTCATCAGACGAGATCTAATCCAAAAAGATGAATATCTTTCGATTAGCGGGTGATATGACTCACCTGGCTAGCGTTCTCGTCTTGCTCCTCAAGATCCACACCATCAAATCTTGTGCCGGTATGGATTTTACGCCCCCCGCGCCATTTTTCTGATGGGATTTTAGTCTTACCGTGTTATCTTTTGAAATCGTGGCCTTAAGATCGATTTTTGTTTTGTCTTCGTTGTTTTTTGTATCATTGTATTTGTACGCATTGGAGCTCTTGGATTGGATGTTTTGAGATTTTGGATTTATGTTTTTGAAAAGATTTGTTCCACTTTGATGCATTCCGTTGTTCGTTCTGGAGTAGAAACGTGTGAGAATGACCTAAAATTTGCAAAAGTGAAGTTTTTGCGTATTGTGATTATAGTCGTAACATATTAATCATACACTGCAGATAGGTAAGGAAAGAAGGTTTGGACCAAACAAACAATGTGGAATTTCTGTTGTGTTAGCATTTTGTCAGATTTGTTAAGGATATTGAAATCTCAATATATTAGAGGCCATTCGTTCCTTTTGGGTTTCGAGACATGGTCTTTATCATTTTGTGTTTTATATGCTGTTCATTGGGCTGGTTTTTGGCTGCAATTTCTTCTATGTGATTAATATGATTCACTTGATGCAGGCGTTTCTTTAAAGACTCAAGAGCTTTATGCAATTGTTTTTACAACCCGCTACTTGGATATCTTTACCGACTTCATATCTCTATATAATACGGTCATGAAGTTAATATTCTTGGGGAGTTCATATTCAATTGTTTGGTATATTAGACGTCACAAGATCGTTCGCCGGTCGTATGACAAGAGCCAAGATACTTTCCGTCATGTTTTCCTAATCTTACCTTGCGTTGTCTTGGCTCTACTTATCAATGAAAAGCTTACTTTCAAGGAGGTTAGCTTTTTCTTCTGATTTGATTTTCATTGAAACTAAGAAAAAATGCAAAAGAAACCAAGTCATAGTCATCATGTGTAAGTCTATTTTTGAACTTTTGACATTTCTTTCCTATATTGAACTCAATAAATGGAACAGGTCATGTGGACATTTTCTTTGTACCTGGAAGCTGTTGCGATCCTCCCTCAGCTCGTACTTCTACAACGAACAAAGAATATTGACAATTTGACTGGCCAATATGTGTTTCTTCTTGGGTATGATTTGACCACCAATAGCATTTAATTAGTACCATTGATGCGATAGTTCTTGAATCCACTGCTCAGTTTCCATCTTTTCTTATGTTGGCTATTTTCCTGTTTTTATATGTGTACCTCTTGTCTAGAATCATTACAGTGTGCCTGAAAGTCGGCATCTCAATAAGTCTTACATTTATTGTGAATTCAATCCCACGAATTAGTAATTTCATATTTTTTTTCCCCATTTTTGGGCATAGAAACTTGAATATTTTAGATAGTGTACCGATGAACATCAAGCAATTGGAAAAATAGAAAGTTGTAAGATATCAGTGTTTGGAAATGATCTAGTTCTCTAATCAAGTTTATCAGAATTGCCCTACAAAATTAGTCTGAGGGCAAGGAGTTTATGAAGGCTTCTATCCTCCTATTTGTATGCTAAACTATACACCAGAATTTGTGGAAAAATTAAGCTGTGCACTGTCTAAGTTGATAGTTTCTAAAGGTGTTGATTGATTCTCAATTGAACAAGAATCCATCTATATTTGCAAAATGGATAAAACTATATTCTTTGCCTGTGTGATGGGTTTGTTCAATTTGGGTTACATTGGAGCCTAACAGAGAAGACTACCTTGTGAAAAGCTTCTTCCTCTTTCATGAACATCTACTAGTCACTATTAGATCATCTATTATCAACTTCTTTAACTCTGTTATGTCAACCTCAGAACCTTGTGAACCAAAATCCTTACTGAATCCTAACTTTTCTTGATGCAGTGCATACCGAGGTTTATACATTGTCAACTGGGTCTACCGATACTTCACAGAGCCTCACTTTGTCCACTGGATAAGTAAGTCAGCTCTTTCTTCCCCCTTCCCCAAACTAATACTGATTCAAGCGTTAATGTAGCGTTTAGTTCAATTTTTGGGGGCAATATTTTCCAAAGTATGGGTTTTCTTCTGCAATTATAATTAGAGAAAATGCAGATCCAAGTCAATCTGAAACTGATGCAGCTACCCGTTTAACTACAATTGGCATTCAGTTTAACATAACTGGAATTTTATTTCTTTGAAACTTCGAATAGAGGTTCCTGATGCTGGAAATTAGGGGAAAAAAGGAAATTTTTGTTATTTTAACCGTAGTTTGATTTGACTTTTGACCACAATTCAGAATTTTCTTCCTCCAAATTCTACACCATGCTCATTTTTATTTTACTTGTTAACTTAGCTTTCAAGCAGTTGAATAATAATTTTCCTTGACTTGCTATCCATTATGCTAAAATAGAAATAAAATCAGTGTTGGTTTGATGAGCCTGACATGTCGCAACATGTTTTATCTGGAATTCATGATGAATATTGGAATTTCCCTTTCATATATTCTTCTACCAAGTTGGGTTTTTTTTGTTTGACAAAAAATTTGCATGGATCATAGCCTTTAGTTCATGGAAATATTATGAAAAGCTGTCGATATGGTGTGACATGTTCACAGAGACCTTGGCTAACCCCCTAACACACTTTGTGAAATTGCAGCTTGGATTTCCGGGCTCGTGCAGACGCTACTTTATGCGGATTTCTTCTACTATTATTTCCAAAGGTGACATAGATCTTTTGCTCAAAACATTCCTTGATTTGTTTTCTTAGTCATGTTATGATAACTCAAAATATTCCTTTTGCACATCTGATATCTGCAGTTGGAAGAACAACCAAAAGCTCCAATTGCCAGCTTAAGAACTCGAAAGGGATGGAATATATATAAAGGAGAATTAACTTCATTTATGGCATTCAGTTGTATTTGTCTGTTCACATTTATCACAAAAAAATCCTGATCTTTCTTGAACCCCCCAACTCATGTTGTTCTCTATGTTTAGACGATTTTTGAGAGTGCAGGTGCTTTTATTTCTACTAAATTCATAGAGAATACATGTTTGTAAGTTTGTTTTGTAAAGATTCTCAATCTCCATCCACGACCACATCTGAGCAATCTTTTGAAATTTTATGATGGCTTCGAGGGGTTTAGATATCCATTTTCGGTGTTATAATGAAATGTTTCTGACGAACTTTATTCGTAACTCAGATTTTTTTCTTGAAATGGAACCTTTATGAAACACAAAATTCAGAGTTTGAACGAGTGATCAGCTATGCAACCGACGAGGGTCGAGTAATTTGACAATCCTCTAAGAATTTTTATGCTCATTTGAATTGTATTACTGAATTGTGTTGAAGAGAAGTAATTCAATGGGGGTAAAAGTAGGATTTTCCATTTAAGAAGACATTGAAAAAGATGGGAAATTGATGTTCTTGGAATCACAAAAGGTACCTTTGAACAATGACAGTAATCAATAGAATCTCCCAGCTCCCATTTATCACTCTCCAATCAATGAAACTCATAATCTGTTCATTTAAGTGACAGATTATCCTGCAAAATTCCTCACTTCTTATACCCTCCTAACGTTTGATTTTGAAGATTTTGGTTGTCTTCGAGCAGACGATCGTACTCGAGAAGGAGATCTGCAGCTTGTTTCTGGAGGGAAGTAACATGGGCATCAGCAGTTTCAATCCTCTTATCTTTTTCTTCACATTCCTTCTTTAGTTTCTTCATTTTTTCCGATAAACTTGATATTTGTTCTCTCAGTTCTTTTATTTGCTTTGAACATTTCTCCTCTTTTTCTGCTAGCTCTCTCTTCTCCTTTTCTAACTTTTCTACTTCCTCTTTTGAAGTTCCGATGTTCTCTCGTAATCCAATAAGCTTTTGAAAATAATGGTGCATGCGATCGATTATGAACCCGAGGAATAAGGTAAAACCTGTAATAATATTATGACAACTTTCAATTTATTAGACACAAAATCGAATAACCGTTAATAGATGATGATGAAATGAAATTATGGGGGTAACTCATTCATATTGTTTTGGTTTCATCTTTTGTCTAGGAGGGTCCTAATTTTTATACATTCTTGGTTGTTCCATAAGATCTTGGAGGGATTAGGTTCGAGCAAGAAGATGGTATCAACATCTCAAAAAGATAGTCGAAGGAAGGATGTTGAAATGGTGCTGATAAAGCCTTGGATCTATGGTTCGGGATGACTCTATGTAGCAGTCCAAGCCCACCACTACTAGATAGATATCGTCCTCTTTGGACTTTCCCTTATGGACTTCCCCTCAAGGTTTTAAAATGTGGTTTTAAAATGTGGCCACTAGGGAGAGGTATCCACACCCTTAAAAGGAATGCTTTGTTCCCCTCTCCAACCGATATGAGATCTCACAATCCACCCCCTTGAAGGCCTAGCGTCCTCGTCGGCACACCGCCTGGTGCCTGGCTCTGATACCATTTGTAACAGTCCAAGCCCACTGCTAGCAAATATTGCCCTCTTTGAACTTTTCCTTCTGGTTTTTCCCTTAAGGTTTTAAAACGTGTTCACAAGGGAGAGGTTTCCACACCCTTAAAAAGGAATGTTTCGTTCCCCTCTCCAACCGATGTGGGATCTCACACCCTATTTGCAAGAAATCATTGGAGGAGGCCGCCATAATGTGTTCTACAATGTTGGATGTAAAAGAGGGAACATTTGGGTCGATTTTGGAAGTTTCTTAGCATATTTGTTCGACTCAATACTACTAAGCTTACTCTAGACATTCAAATTTGGGTCGAGTTTGAATGATTTCTAGATGTTCTACCTCGCAGCCATATCAGAATTCAACAGACAACAATGAAAACTGACTTAAAAGAAAGCTGTTTATCTTCAAACCATAAGTATATAGCAGGCCAGGAAATGGAAAACTGACATAAAAAGAAGAACACAGTGACTATAAACCAAACATATGAGCCAAAGCAAACAAATCTAAACAGCCAATGAACTGAAAAACATACCAATGAGAGAAGCCTCAAGCAATTGTGTCCTCCAAAGAACCTGATCCATGGGCGACATCGTCCCAAGCTTTGCACCTTTGTTCTGGATCTTAACAATGTTCATAAGACTGGACAAGAGAATGACAGACATGGTAGCAGCAATTGTTCTAACAGTTGCTGGACCCTTCCCCATTTTCAGCTGATCTAAACTCTTAATCACAAACTCTCTGAGTAGCCCAATCTTTACTAGCAACAGAAATGCTACCACTCCCTCAGCAAAAAGAACTAAGAACAATAACTGAATCATCTTCGCTAGATCCACAAAAAACGAAGAAGAAAAACCCTAAATCCCTCAAAGGGTGTTCGATTTTCGATCTAGTAAAGAGAAAATGAAAACAACTTTCCAAACCCCAGATTCATTTCCTATGAAGATGAACATAATGGCAATCTATTGAAAGCCCATAATCCATTTTTGCAAACTAATTCAAACTGACCGAGCTTGTTCTTCCCTTCGAGCTCAAAAAATCAGAAGGGAGGAGAAAAACAGCTGAAAGAAACTCGAACTTGTTGTAAGAAGTAAAGTAATTGGAAGTAAATTAGTAAAGGAGGGAGATGAAAGGGCGCGGATCTGCAAAATATAGCCCAAGTGAGAAGAGGAAAGCGCCTTGTGGAGAAAGCCCATGTCTTACTTTTGGAGTATTTGGCGAAAAGGATTAGTGGGTTTTGGCTTTAGGTCTTGGATTTGAAGTGGGTATCATTTTTTTTTGCTCACAATGAAAAGGAATTGGGAGAAAGTAAAGTGTGAAAGGGAGAAAGAAAAAGAAAAAGCAAAAAATGGGTATTAGTTTATTCGAGGAAGAGGACACTCAGAGAGGAGTAATACTATGTCATTTCATTCGGTGGTTTTTTCGGCTCTTAAATAAGGTGCAAACACAATTCATGCAGAATCTAACCTCGTTTAACAACACACACTACTCGTTCGTTCGCAACTCGATCCGACTTGCCTCTATAGTAGGTCAAGTATCTGACTTGACCTTGCCTCAATGTACCTAAATGAGAGGCATGATGTCAACTCTTTGCCGCTCTTGGGCACTATGGCCTAAGCGAGCTATTTTATGTAACATATGAGTGTCTGAGTAAAATACTAGTCTCATAATTACAACATAATTTGATCGGGTTGTTTCTCGTTAAATAATGAAATAAAATATTAAGAGTAGAGAATTTGATCTAGGTTTCGATTCCTGCTAAAAACATTTTGGTGGAATGATTTTCTTAAAAATAAATAGGAAATTTTAGAGGGATAGAGATTTTCAGCCACGTGTAATCTCTGTGGGAGAGGATAGAGGAGACGAAGACTTCTACAGTTACTACTGCTCTGGTCTTTTTTTCATTTTCTGCTTTATTTATTAACAATGGAAGTTCCTTCATCACGAAGCCAATTCTCTCTCTCTTTCTCTCTCTAAACTCATCGCTTCCGTATGCTCCTCTTCATCCTCGGATTCCGGTGATCCTCTTCGCCGTGATTTCTCGTCGGAACTCGAGTCTGGTCGCAGTCCGGCAGTTCTTTCCCATTTCGAAGCAGTTCCCGCCGCCGCCGCCGCTGCCGCCGCGCGTCCGACTCCGGTGGATAAACCACCATGACTGTAAGCTTCCATTTCTCTTCTTTTGTTTATTTGAATGTTTCAGTGTGCGTTTTCTTTGTTATGTTCTGTTTGGCTGCTTGGAAAATATCCCGGTTAGTGTGAAAAGAGAGAATGAGAGTTCAAAATTTGCTTTCCGACTGGAACTAAACGAGTTGCGTTTTCCCATTTCATTTGCCCTAAAGTGATGTGAGAGATCTAAATCAAATTTCAGGCTCTGTTGAATGGCGATGGAAATCGAGAAACGGTTATTGGAACCGAATAGTTTTTGAGGATTGAATCAATTTGGAGAACTGTTCAAAAGATTTCTAGATGTTATTTAATCTGAGCGATTTAAAAATGGTTTTCACTTTCATCGTTTTCATACGGACGAAATTATTGCTAGTTTTCAATGCTTTTGCTTCTTTCTGTTCATATGCTAGTGGTGGGTGCCACTTTTTCTTGTAGAAATGTTCAATCACGAGCATCTGATTCACATTCAGAATTAAATTAATACTACTTTTGCCATTCTACTTCATCATTATAAGAAAGATGCATACATCCTTCCATATAAAACAATATCTTTGTACAGATGATAAACAAGTTGAGCGAGCTTATTTAGAATACATGTGGGGCTTTATTTTATTTTATTGAGCTCCCTTTTTGAGTATAGGGACATTCAAGTATTCTCTTAAACAATCATCTGTTCATTTATTCTTTCTAATTCTGCTTTATATTTTGAACTTTATGGAAAAGGTCTAGTCTCTGAATATGTGATTTTTGTCGAATTCTTAACAAATTCCTATAAACCAAGCTCAATTCTCCATCTTCTCAATGGCGTTTAAGTTTTTACATTGCCCATAACTTGGGAAAACACCAAAAAATCTCTGTTTCCTTTTTTGTTTTCATTTCACATTTGTTGTTTTATGATTGGACTCTTTATAATAGCTGTTTTGACATTTTGGTTCAAATTGCTAGATAGCGTAGATCCCATGAAGGCAAAGGAAAAACTATTTGGATTAACATTATGCATTTCATCTCTAGCCTTAGGCACTAATTATGGATGGAATTCTTTTGAGTGCCCCCCACTTTTTCAAACAAATGAGCAATTTTCCAAACTTGTGAAGGAATGGAAACCTTCTTGTTGTTGCTGAAATTGTCAAAGTTGCCGTCTGTTCTTTTGGGATCAGTTGGTAAATATGGATATGGATGATATTGATTCTTATTCAAAGATTTATATTTGTGGTGCATCTTTTAGGTCATTTGTAGGTAATGATCATATATGGTTCATACATTAGAGCTATCTCAAGCACGTAGAAGTGAGGATTTAAAATCTTGAACATTTTGGTTGATAATATAGGTGAGATCCCGCATTGGTTGGGGAGGAGAGTGAAACATTTTTTATAAGAGTGTGGAAACCTTCCTTACCGGATGCGTTCTAGAAACCTTGAGGGAAAGCGACAATATGGGCTAGCGGTGGACTTGGGCTATTAGAGCATATGTCTGAACTAGAACTAGATGAATTAATGCTCAAATTGACATAGCTATCTTTCTTTGTTCCTAATCGATATGGAACTGAAATGGTTGCAAACTAACCGAAGGACAACGAAGTTGCGGTTCCAAAATTTGGTGAATGGAACGACAGGGACGCCACACCACCAGACAACTACACAGCTATTTTCACCAAGGTGCGGGAAGAGAGACAAGACCAGGGAGCAAGGACGCCGACGCTGCCACAGAACAGTAACATCCCAGATAACCAAAATGATGAACAAAATCAGAAGGTAATTGAAGAACTCTCTTCCTTTTCTCAGCCAACCACGTGAAATTACTGAGATTTGATAATGCAAATGCCTTACATTCTTCTTGTCTTCCTCAAAATTTTCAGAAATGCTGTTGTTTTCCATGGCCAAGAAAATGATATTGTTGTTTTCATTTTCATAAGCAAGGGCTTAGATTACATGAACATGTGAGAATAATGTAGATTATTTCATGGATCTGGCTGCAGCTCACCTCCTTCAATGCCATCTGATTGAAAGTGTTTGGCTGTGGCCAAAGTTGTAAACAAAGACAAAATTTGATTGTGTTGTTTGGGGTTTACAATTTTTTCTTATTTCGAGATTCATCTGTTGGATATCTATTCTTCATTTTAATAATTGTATTGTGATTTTGGTGTTATGTGTTCTTATTTAATGTTGTAATGTGTTCTTATTCAGTTACTATAATTTTAGAAAATTAAAATAAGTGATATTATTTTGTCTAAGTATTTCAAAACATTTTTATTTCAAATAGGTTTGTAGTTCTTTTATGAAGAAATGCCCGTATTGCCCAACATAATAGGACTCGTACTTGTGTGGATTCGTCCCCAATAGAGAAACAAATAGGGGAAGGAGTAGGAGAAAATCGTCTTTATTAGCTAAACGGGCTGGTATTATAATCACCATCGTTGTCTTTGATCGAGTTAAACCTATATTTTGAAAACAATTTTTTCGTATTTGTCTCGTTCTTTCAAAATTAAATAAGAAATTTGATAAGGAATAAAAAATAAATAGTTGAGACGAAAAATGTATTTTAAACCATGTGTACATCTCTATGCCTTACACGACAAATTTGTTTTAAATTGAGTGATCGACACACGTCACTTAAATAATAATATTATTTATTTAAAAAAATGTAATTAAAGTAGACCATTAATAATTATTGAACGGAGATTCAAAATATAAATATTATTTAATAACTATTAAATACAAATTCAAAATACAAATAATTTAAATAAAATTTCTCAGAACAAAAAACCACAAACTATATTCGCCGGAAAATGATCCGTCCAATGATTGGAAGGGGTTTTCAGATTTTCAAAAGCAAAACGGAGTTGGTGACGTAGGCACGTGCGAATCAAACTTACACGTGTAAACACAACGATTGGTCTTCAGAAGAAGACGTGGCGTGTTTCAGCCTCGGGGCTCTCTTTTGCAGAGTCAGTCCCTCAGTCTCGCAAGAACCCTGAAAGTTCCCCATTCTCCATTCCCCAATCCCCTTTATAACGGCTGTTTCGCTTTCCCTTTCTTTTTTCCTTCCATCTCTCAACCCTTAGAACCCTAAAACTGATCATCCACACCCAAACTCATCCATCTAATCTAATCTAGTTTATCTATCTACCGCCAACGGATTTCAATATATATCTTATAATCTCTCGCCTTATATCTTCATCAATCGCTTATTTGAGGTATATCATCTTGAAATTGGACGGATTTTGTTTTCTGGTATTTTACTTTATTGTGTTTTTTTTTATTTAATTTGTTTTTGTGAATGCTTTGATCCACGTGGGTTTGAAGACTTGATGATTTGGTTTGGGATCGTGTATGTTCGGAAAAACTATCTGGTGGAGTTTAGAAAGAGATTTTGACGATCGGTTATGAATTTTGTGGTTTATTATAAATCTTATGATTGATCCGAGGGCATGATGTATTTGAATCGGGGTGTTAGAATTATTAGGAGGTTTGCTGCCACATTAGAGAATGTTTGGTGTAAAGCGTTTTTGTTGATTGGTGAAGATTTTTTCGTTGTCTTGGTTTCTGAGTTACAATCTTACAAGGATTTGTTTCTTGTGTATTTTGCCCTCTGTGAATCTCCTGGTGGTTATTGCATGGGATTCACATCTATGGGCTGGTTGTTGGGAGTGAGTGTGATCAATAGTGATACCAAGTTTTTGATTGAATGATAACCGATGTTTTTTTGAGTGTTTTCTTGTCAATGATGGTGGGTGTTGTGGTATTGGCTTTGTTGGAAGCTATCAATTTCTATCTCAAAATTTCCTCTGTTCACTTTATCTGACATCGGTTGCGCTCTTATTAAGATTTTCAATATATTGAGGGCATGCATAGCAGGCTGTTGAGGAGCTCCAAGATTGATGAGTACTCAGGCAATGAGGGGGGGACATACTGCAAGAGGTTATCATCGTAGGAAATCATTGGACTTGGACCTCAACATCATGCCACCAACCGAGAACCGAGATCAAGGGGAGGCATCTCAATTGGCGTTTCAGGAAGCACAAGTTAATCAACAACAGTCCGTACAACCTGCAATGGTTGATGTTGAGGCCATTGATGATGATGTTATTGAATCATCCGCCACAGCATTTGCTGAAGTATGCTTCTTCTGGCTTCACTGTATTGCTTAATACTTGTGATGCTTCTATCCATATTATGTTATTGTTCCATTGATTGGCTCTGATTTGTATTTCATGAATTCGATTGATTATCTATCAGGCTAAAAATAAATCCAGACGGAATGCTAGGAAGATTATAGTTGATGTGGATGCAGGTATAGTTATTCAGCTGGTGGAGGACTATAGTTATTTTTTTTGCTCTACTTTTTCTCCTTTATTAATTGGTGAAGAAATCTGTCTATTTTAAAGTTTTCTCCCTTGCAATACAATTTTATTTATTTTCATTTTATTCTTTACTTAGTTTTTATAAATTCTCAAGGTATGTAGTGTGCTGCATGCTCATTATCAATATGAAAGGTAGCTTAGAAATTTGATGTATTAGAATATTGAACATTAGTATAATAATTAGGAAAGTAGTTCATTGGGATTGATGTTCTCAGAAGCAGCAATTAAAACAGCCTTTAGATTTTGTGATTCATATTCTCAAACATATCTGCAATACAATGATCTTAATTTAGACTATTTAAGGACTTAGACATCAGCATTAAATACTTAGGAGCAAGAATATGTGAGGGCACTAAAACCTGTTCATTATTGAGATTTCTTCTAAAAATTAGCATTGATCACTAGTTAGAGCCATCCGAGCACTGATTTTTGGAATACCTTGCACTCCTGGCTAGAGCATGCAATCAAGAGAAATGAATAAAAGAGAGATTTATAATCGATTCTCATTCATCCTTCCAAAATACACCATTATACCAAATTACCAATGCCCAGCTAATGATCATGATAGATTTTATTTTTAGCTGGTGATTTGTAACCACGGTCTACTATTGCTTGTCTTGATTTTCTATTAGTAAGCCACCATAATTCCGCCATTGCATACTCCTTTTGCTATGACATGACTTTATGCGGCATGACATCATTTTCAATACGTACCTTCATAGCAGTTTAGTTCATAAGCTGTTGTGACCTTTAGCTATCTTCTCTATTATTTGTATTTATGGTTGTATCATCTATGGACGGGTGTGTCCATCCAGATATCTTTTCAAGTCCCCCTCCACCCCCCCACACCACTTGTTGTGATGCTCATCCTCTAATTGTTGCAGAAGAGTGGAGCCAGGTGTCAAATAATAACCGCATCAAGCGTAAGAGAGACGTGTCAAATCAACAAGCTCTAAATTCTGTTTTATTGATCAATTTGGAAGGCAGCAATAGCTTTATGGTACTGGGACAATTTAATCTTTGTTGTTACTCATATTTTGTGCACTATCGCTCATCCTCTAATTGTTTGGCAGGGACTTTCTCATCCTTGTTCTTTAGGCTGTCCTATTTCTTTTGTTTATAATACAGCCTTCTTTTTCTTAAATCTTATAATAAAAATAATAATAATTTGAGTGTTGAAAATGGGATCATTTCTCTAGTTCTTAATCTTTAGCCAACTTGGGATTTCTGTCTCATTGGCAGAAAGAGAAGCCTGCTCCATCGAAGGAGCCCAAATTCAGTTGTCCAATATGCATGGGTCCGTTAGTAGAAGAAACGTCAACAAGGTGTGGTCATATTTTCTGCAAGTCATGTATCAGGGCTGCAATAGCCGTCCAGAGCAAATGCCCATCCTGTAGGAAGAGAGTAACTGCCAAAGAACTCATCAGAGTGTTCCTTCCTGGGACGAGGTTGGAGTGAGGCTTTTACATGTAAGTAGCTTAATTGGCTTGCTACTTTATGCTTTTGTTCTCATGGATCAAAAGGGTTGCATATGCCTTATTTTCAATTTGCATTTTGGTTATTGGCCTAGTCCGGAGATTTCTTTCATAAATAACCATGTTTCGTTGGTTAGGATTGAGATTCTTTTATTTGTATTATAACTTGTGGTCTAGGATTGTTGTAATGGGTTGTGTTTGATTAAAGAGACATTTGAATCAGCTGTATTTATGAAAAGTTTGAATATAGGGTACTTCAGAAAGGGAGGTATATTATGAAATAAATCCTTCGAGCTTAGTTTTTCTATGCTTTCTTTTGTTCTTTAGTTTTATTCTCCATGGAAATAAAAGCTCAATTTCAAATCCTTCATAATGATTGTTAAGAATCACCACGCTCTTAGGACAACATGATGAATTGGAAACATAATATCGATGGCCGAGTGCAATAATCTGATCTTTATGTTCTAAATTGGTCTTTTAGTATGGTAAATTACATCTTGCAGGTATTCTTTTTAATAACTTCGAAGGAAAATCGTCGAAAGTTTTCTTGTAAGTAAGAAAAACTAGCTTTTAGGTGGAAATCTCCAGTGCATTCTGCGGATGGCTGCTGTAGCTTGATGATCTCTGAGTTGCAATAGCAGGTAGCAGGAAATTTTGATTTCCATATTTTTTGGTCGATACTTTTGGTGGTTTTATGGAGTTGTAAACGAACCCGACACTGAAATACAATAGTATGCAATGAGATTACATAATTAAATCCAGAAAGTTGCTTTTATCATGGTCGACTTCAGGTTTAGACATGTATGTTATTCATATAATTTCATGCATCTAATGTGATCATTTATATATTTGCATCGCTTTGCAGCCTTGTTGCAGTGCTTATTATACTTCTTGTTCTTGAAAGACAGGTTTGGGAACATACCATCTCTTGTTTGATTTGTCTGAGTTCCATATGTTCTTGTTTGCTTTTGGATCATGTTGGAGAAAGAAGATTTTCATTGAAAATTAGCATAGTTTTAAGGAAGATTTCCATTCCATTACATTGGCCTCACTTGCATACATCTAGTTGAGCACAATCCCATTAGTAAGACCAAGTTATAGTTCATAAACTTTTATTCCTAGAAACCATAAGCAATACTATGCTTATGGGGCGGATTCAGGGGTACTTATGGTGGACTCCATACTTTCCGGCCACCTCTTTCTTCGAGTCGAGCGCCTGTTTCTTGTAGGAATTCCCATTGTACGGATGGTCGCCCGCCTCATAGTAGGGAGCTTTGTCACAGTTGCCATATTCATCGCAGTCTCCATCTTTGTATTTGTATTCATCACAGTCACAGTCCTCATTGGATTTGTCACAGTAGCCATATTTGTAGCAATCTCGATCTTTGTATTTGTATCCATCACAGCCATATTCCCCCTTGGATTTGTACCCCAAATTTTCTTTGAAAACCTGGGGATTCTGAGCTTTTGCTCCCTCAGCACTCTGCAGAGCCGCCATTGCCATTGCCATTGCAGAGACTGCAAGCAGGATGACTAGAGCCTTACTGATCATCTTCTCTTTCTTCTCTCTGTTTTATGTTTGAATGAGAATTGTTGTGAAAAGCCTCCAAATTTATAGGCAGCAAGGGAATTTAGGTATCCCTTTTGAGTATAAAGATTAATGGGTTTCTGCATGGGAATCTTTGTTCTAATGGAAACAAGTTGTTGAGTGGCCCTTTGGAATTCATTCTGCCTTAAATTTTCATGGCCCCTTTGCAATTAATTTGGTTTTAAATTTTTTCATGGCCCATTGTTCTGCTATATTGAGATGGTTGGAGGTTGTTTTGGTTGCAGAGAAATTGCTAAAATCTTAGCAATGACCCATATGAAGGCTAAATCTTTGAACTTCATCATTTATTTCGATTCTTTTCAAAGTTGTAGCGTTGCCGTTTACCTTTCATATTCATAAATCTTTATTGACACGTCAACTTTTAGATTTTTATTTAGAGTAAATTTATTTTGAAATATTTATGAAAAATTAGAAATTTTATGAATAGTAGGAACTTTTGAAATAAATTTGGATGAATGTTTTTTATTTTTATTTTTTACAATGTAATCTAAAATAGTGTGATGTCGATCATCTAAAGGATGATGAGAAGCATTTTGCGGGTTATATGCAAAACTCGTTCTGAAGTTGTGAACTTCGAATTCAATTCCAATTTCTCTATAATGGGCGTGAGCTTCAAGTATGTCGAACTAGGGTTTGTAGAAGCTTCAAGGTGTGAGGAATTCAATTCATTCCATCGTTTGCGGAAGCTCATGACTACGGATTCTTGTTTAATTGGTATACCAAATGAACGAAATGCAATTGTTCTACAGTATTGAGACAATTTACCTGTGAAGTTTTATTAAGATTTTTCTCATGTGTTGTTAGGTAGATCACATAATCGTCTTTTCTTGAGATCACAATTTTTACTTAGTGTAACATCCAATCTTGGCTTGTTCTCCCATATCGCTACGTCTGTGTTTATGATTAAATACACAAGCTAAGTTCTGTCTGCTTCTTCGAAATTGTGATTTTTGTTCGTTTATCCTCGTGAGTTAAGTTGAATTGCTTCCTGATTATCAGATAATTACTGGATGATTGTGAACATTTCATCCTCTTGTTTGATTTGTTTGAGTTCCATCAGCTTGTGTTCTTGTAATTATTTTGGATCTTGTTTAGAAGGTTGAAACTAAAATAGGATTAGAATAAGATTTTCATTGGCTTCACTTACGTATGTAGTTGAGCAGAATCCCTTGAGCAAGAGACCTACTTATACTTCACCATCTTTTTATTCATACAAAAGCATTACTATCATGGGTACTTCTGGTGGACTCCATACTTTCCGGCCACCTCTTTCCACTCTGTCCCCTGTTTCTCGTCGGAACTCCGATCTTCGTAGGGGGGGTTCCTCACAGTCGCCATATTCACAGCAATCATTGTGTTTGCCTTTGTATTTGCACCACAAATTCTCATTGAACATCTGGGGATTCTGAGCTGTTGCTTCCTTCATGGCCATGCTCTTCCTCCTTCAACATTTTGCACAACTGCCATTGCTATTGCACACACTGCAGCCATGAACACTACAACATGACGACGCAATATCTACCTCTCAACTATGTGAATCGATATAAAAATATTATTACTCAATGAAAGAATACAAATTTAAGAATGAGAAATAGAATTAGAATTTGAATTGAAGGTTTTTAAATAGATACAAGATAACAACTAATAAAAAAAATATAAACTAATTAAATTTTGAGAATAAAATAAAATATAAAACTAATAAAAAAGGTATTTACTGAATTTAAAATATATTTTATAATTAGTATATTCTTCAAATATTAATTGATTATAAATATCCGGACTAATTCAAAGTAATAATGATTTCTTTTCTGTATTTGCTTGGGAGGGTTTCCAATTTATAATGCAAACAAGTTGTTGAGCGGTCCTTTTGCAGTTCATCGGCTTTAAATTTCTATGGCCCATTCTTCTCTTAAAAGAAATTGATAAATATGCACGTAATCCTAAGATTCTATCTCCTAATTATTTTATAGAAGGTTAAAAGGTAATATTGTTAGATATTTTTGTATCATTTTTTTCTTATAGTTAGTCGAGAATTAATAGCATCCAAATTCACCAATATTCATTTCACTTTGAAATTTAAATGGAATTTGGATCGGTTCAGTTAATTGTTAAAGGTTTTTTAAGAATATTTTGAAGAATTTGTAACCAAGATATGAAAAGCTGGGTGGGCTATTTTTATAAATCATGGAGGCAATAGATTCTTCATTGATTTCTTGATTGGGGGAAATTGCATCTCAAATTCTATTGAGATCGTCAATTTTCGATTTCGATTCAAATTTCTGTGCGATGGGCACGACGGGCAGTGATGTTGAAGCAGGGTTTGCGAAGCTTCAGGGCGAGGATTTCGAATACTATATGCAAACCTACTCCATAATCCTCGGCCGGAATTCCAAGAAATCCACCGTTGACGTCGACCTGTCCAGCCTCGGCGGCGGCATGAACATTTCCCGCCACCATGCTCGTATTTTCTACGATTTTACGAGGCGGCGATTTGCCCTAGAAGTGCTCGGAAAAAATGGCTGCCTTGTTGAAGGGGTTCTTCATCTGCCCGGAAACGCACCGGTCAAGCTCGATTCTCAAGATCTTCTTCAGATTGGGGATAAGGAGTTCTATTTCTTGTTGCCGGTTAGGAATATTTTGGGTGCCTCGGTTGGGGCGAGGAGCTATTTAGGTCATTCCGGATCGGCGGGGGCGGGTCCTGCGGTGGCCGGGTCGGTGGTGCCGCCGCACTCGCACTATAATTTTCATTTGGCTGGCTCTGGAGGAGGCGCTGCTGCAGGAACGACGGGGAAGAAAGGGAAAGGACGGGAGTATTATGAGGAGGGATATGAGGACGAGGATGATATTGGGGGAAGTAGCGGCAAGAAGTTCCGGCGGGATGGATATGGAGCTGGTGGCTCTGGTGGAAAAGTAGGATTTTCCGGCGGAATGGGTTAGCATCTTTCTTGTTCTTCGTTTTTGCATTGGTTGCTTGATTACTTTTAGAGGTTTAGAAATAATCTATGTTGAAGTTCCTGATAGTGTCTCAAACATTCACAGTGTCGCTTTGATTTTCATTCTTAGACAATTGAATCCAGAATTGGGAAACTTTTGATCATGGTAGTGTTTCTTATAGTGCCAGATTTTAATGTGTAATGTCAGGCTTGTAGTTTCTAATATGGTATCAGAATCATGTCAATAGAATCCTCAAGCATCGAACAAAATAGTTGTGGGCCTCAAATGTGTAGTTAAAGGTGCCTCAAGTGTCGAACAAAGGGTGCACTTTGTTCGAGAGCTCCAAGGGAGGAGTCTAACCTCGACTAAGGGGAGACTATTCGAGAGCTCTAGAGAAGGAGGTATAGTCAAAGGTGACTCATGTGTCGAACAAAGGGTGTACTTTGTTCGAGGGCCCCAGGGAACGAGTCTAACTTCGATTAAGGGGAGGTTGTTTGAGAGCTCTAGAGAAGGAGGTATAGTTAAAGGTGGCTCAAGTGTTGAACAAAGGGGGAACTTTGTTTTTGGGCTCCAGGGAAGGAGTCGAGCCTCGGTTAACGGAAGGTTGTTCGAGAGCTCTAGAGAAAGAGGTCTCAAGGGAGGCTCTATGTATACTTTGTTCGAGGAGAGGATTATTGACAGGAGTAGTCTCACATTAGCTAATTAAGAAGAAGATCATGGATTTATAAGTAAGGACCACTATCTCCATTGGTATGAAATCTTTTGGAGAAACCAAAAGTAAAGCCATGAGAGCTTATGCTCGAAGTAGACAATATCATTCCTATTGAAGTTCGTGGTTTCTAACATTGTTGTGGATCATGGATGGAGTATATGTGATGTTCATCTTTGTCTATATGTTTTTGTTGTCTCCTTCTCATTCTCGAGTATGGATCTTCTAAATTCTGTATATCTGAATGGCATAGATATTAAGGTTTCTCTTGAACCATAATCTACAGTTTCCATGGACAAGAAGTTAGATGGAAGATCAAGAGTTGAACGAGAAGCTGATAATCAGCTCCTCCAGGAGGAAAAGGACGTCGTATCATCGGTAGCTACCGTGCTGTCTGATCTTTGTGGCCCGGGCGAATGGATGCCTATGGAGAAACTCCACTCTGAGGTATGTTTGATTAGGAAGGCTCCTCTTGATTCTTAAGTAAATGAAGGGGAAACTGAACCTATGATAGGCTGTTTATAAGGGTTGCTAGTTTTTCTAAGGCTCGACTTTTCTGTCATTCTCGACTTGTATTGTGGTCGACCTAAAAAGTTATGCTCACATGTGGGAGAACTGATTACTTGATGCTTTATTTGTCGTAGCTGGTCGAGAATTATGGCAGTGTTTGGCACCACAGTCGTGTAAGGAAGTACCTCAAATCAGAGGATTGGCACGGTTCTGAAGCCAAGGATAAACCATGGTATGGCCTGCTTATGTTGTTGAGAAAATACCCAGAACATTTTGTGATTAACACGAGATCCAAGGGCCGAGTAACGCTCGAGTTCGTCTCGCTCGTTTCACTCCTTTCATAGAGTCAGAAACTAGCTTGGTGTTGTTCCTGGGATCTGGGTGTTTCGACTTAAAACACGTATGTAATGAGGATGACAAGGAATTGATTCTCAAACTTTGTTGTCGTTCCTGTTCTGTGTTCAAACTAGTAGCGATTTGCTGAACTCAATACATGTAAATGATTTACTATGAATCTAAAGTAGATTTTCACCTGAATGTACTAAATTCCTGACTTGTTCATGTCTAAATTGTTGCAAGATCATTGTTCATGAAATGCCCGAAGGATTTGCCTAAATCACTAAACTGATGTACATCCAATGATCCAAAATTTCAATGGCCTTTTAATAAAAGAAATCAAAACTGCATATCTCCATCAAAATTTCAAGGCAAGTGGTTCAATATCTTCTGGAGCTGAGAGGTCACTGAACTCATCCTGTCTCTTGTTCAAGTCGTCGCTCCCCAGAATAGGAAGTTTAGAGTTCTTTGATTCTGGGCTGACCCTCTTTTGTTCTGGCGAATATGATGATAAATAACTCAGATCATCTTCATATGAACATTAACCAAATTGAAGAAAACAGAGACTTACTTTTATTAGCGATTGCGAGTCGAGTCATTGCTAAAAACTCATCCCAATTAAACTTTCTCAGTTCTTTCTTCTCCGCCTCTGGGAGCTCGAAGTTGGGTTCCCTTCCACACATGAAAGCAGCTCTAGAATAGCAAAAGACAGATGATCAGCTCCTTGGCTGTATTCTTTTCTTCTCTTTTTTTGAAAAGTGAAGGAATAATATGCACAAAATGGTTTGTAAGCATTAAAATGTTAAAATGCACCTATTTTCTAGTTATCGTGTGAGATCTTATATCGGTGAAGAGGGGAACGGAGGCGTAGAAATCTCTCTCTAATAGAAGCGTTTTAAGATTTTGGGGGAAAGTCCAAAAGGGAAAAGTCAAAGAAAACCATAACTACTAGTGGTGGGTTAGGGCGATTACAAATTGTATTAGAGCTAAGTTCCAGGCGGAGTGTCAGCGAGGATGTTGGGCTCCCAAGGAGGGTGGATTGTGAGACCCTACCTCGATTGGTGAGGGGAATGAACCCTCGACCTAATAGACACGTTTTAAAACCTTGAAAGAAAGCTCAAAAGGGAAAACCCAAAAAAGACTCAGCAATGGACTCGGTGGTTACATATCTTAGGGACAAAATGCCATTAATATATTCATCAATCAGCTAGAACTTTAGCACTTCAAAATGGTACCTGTCATACAAATGAGCAGCTTCTTCTTGTGATCCAACAGTTCCCAAGTGTATTTGTTTCTTGTCAACCTTAATAGCAGCCTGCCATTTCATGTTCTTGAAATAAACACCTCTCATTAAGAAACATTCTTCTGGAAAATGCTTTCTCCGGTGTTGTTTTCTATGTTTTACGGGCGGTTCTGCAAATAAAAAGCATATGAACAGAAAGATATCTCTTCAAAACTCAGTGAAAAATGAAACCAAACACACCTTCAAATGGCTCATCACTTTTCTCCTTTGATGTGTCAAAAACTGATACCCTCAATGGTTCAGTCTCTAAATTTGCAGCGGGAATCTGAAAAATACCATATTATCAAGATGAGTATCGAGCATAAATGTACTCGTTATGCACTACAAGACATAAACATGATGTGATTATGCAGTGATTGAAGAAACTGGAAATCATAATAATACTGACCTTCTCTATCTCGTTGAATTCGTTCGAAAAGATGGGATGAACACTAATGAAGTTCGAACAGTGCTCGAGATCTGAATTTTCAGAAAACTTTGAAACTGGAGCATCAAATGAGCCTTTGCCTACAAAATGAGTATAAGAAGCCTTCTGTGGTTCTGTTATGAATCAAATGAATAGAAATGGCATTTTCTCAATGCCATAGCTTCAAGACATTACCAGTGCAAAGTCCGAGGAGTTTACGCCTTCTTAAGCTCACCATAATTAGCTTTGATAGCGTTATCGCTGGTACTATTTGGTTGTTTCTCCTGGATCACCTCACATCTAGAGCAGAGAAGTAGAACAAACTCAATCAGGTTCCATGAGAAGAAAAAAGACATCTCCAAAACACTGGGACCGACAGACAAACAACAAACTGATCAATAAGGCTCAAAGAACAGAATTGTGGCATCTATCATAATGGGGATAAAGAATGCAAGTTGCTGAGAACAATCAATAAGGAAGACTTGTTTTCACGTTGATTCATACATTTAAGAACACTCAAACCAAATGGATGAACATATGTAACGGTCCAAGCCCACCGCTAGCAGATATTGTCTGCTTTAGTCCATTACGTATCGCTGTCAGTCTCATGGTTTTAAAGCGCGTCTACTAAGGAGAGGTTTCCACACTCTCATACAGAATATTTCGTTCGTTTCTCCAACCGATGTAGGATCTCACAATCCACCCTTCTTGGGGCCTAGCATCCTTGCTGGCACACCACACGGTGTCAGGCTTTGATACCATTTGTAATATCTCAAGCCCACCGCTTTAGCCCGTTACATATCGCCGTCAGCCTCACGGTTTTAAAATGCATCTGCTAGGGAGAGGTTTCCACACCCTTATAAGGAATGTTTCGTTCTCATCTCCAACCGATATAGAATCTTACAATCGACCCTCCTTGGGGGCCAGCGTCCTCACTGGCACACCGCTCGGTGTCCAGCTTTGCTACCATTTGTAATAGCCCAAGCTCACAGCTTTAGCTCCTTACGTATTGTTGTCAGCCTCACGGTTTTAAAACGCGTTGCTAGGGAGAGGTTTCCACACCCTTATAAGGAATGTTTTGTTCCACTCTCCAACCAATATGAGATCTCACAATCCACTCTCCTTAGGGGCCAGCGTCCTCGCTAGCACACCGCTCAGTGTCCGGCTTTAATACCATTTGTAATAGCCCAAGCTCACCACTTTGGCCCCTTATATATCACCGTCAACCTCACGGTTGTAAAACGTGTTGCTAAGGAGAGGTTTCCACACCCTTATAAGAAATGTTTCGTTCCCCTCTCCCACCAATGTGAGATCTCACAATTCACCCTCCTTGGGGGCCAGCGCTCTCGTTGGCACTCCGCTCGGTGTCTGGCTTTGATACCATTTATAACAGTCCAAGCCCACCGCTTTAACCCATTACGTATCACTATCAGCCTCATGGTTTTAAAACGCGTCTGCTACAGAGATGTTTTCACACCCTTACAAGGAACATTTCGTTCCCCTCTCCAACCAATATGGGTGTGATCTTATATTATCAAATACAAATCAAAGAGGAAGAAGAAGAAAACATCTTAGTGAAGTATATTCTTGTTTTGTACCTAAAAACAGTGTTTAACTTCACTTTCTCTCAACTGAAGCAATCTAAACGAAGTCAAAATGCACAACATGAGGTACTACAGCAAAATTCAAGTATCATTCTATGAATCAATAATCTAAAAGCAGTGCCAACATAAACTATCACCATCCAAAAAGCAGTAAATTGCAGTACAAAACTAGTAGCTATCAGCCAAAAGAACCTTGAATTGAGCAAAAAACCAAACAAATTTGGTGAAATCCATTAGCAAACTTCCCAATCTATTCAAATCCAACGTAGCTCAACTTGTTTAAACTTAAAACTTCAACTCAGAATCTAAACCTATCAAATTCGGTGGTGGAAATTCACAAACCCATCGCTACAAGTCAACCTAGCCGCCGACAAGAAATTCAGATACCAAATTCCTCAAAACGCCAATCTAAACAAACGCAGCACTAAACAGACGCTAACTCAGAAACCAAAAATCCAAAACAAACAAACAAACAAGTGATCGGCATTCGGATTCCGCCCGTCAACGCCGAATGTCGACGACCGGAGACCAAACAAAACCGACCAAAAAACAGAGAGCCGCCGTTCATACCTGAGGTCACAGCGGCGGAGGCGTAGAAAAACGATCGAAAAACAAAAGCGGGTTGAGATTACGAGGAGAAAGGATTATACGCAAATTCTGAACTCATGCATCATCTGTTTCTCTACCACCTTTTTGAAATCCCTCGTTTTGTAAATTTGTTCCGTTTGGACTGATGACCATAACCAGGTGGTGGTCTGCAATGGAGGCAGAGAGAATAAATTTGGTTTTAGAGAGAGAAATACTAATGAGAGAGAGAACGTGACTTCTATGCAATTCATCAACAACATTTTCAATCACATTCCCACCTTATAAATGCTGAAAATTTTCCAAAATTGACATATTTTTGCATTAATAAACATTATATGTTCATATTAGGAAATAATTATATATAAATTTATTGATTTACGATTAATATATCTCTATCTATATTGATATAAATTTCGAACGGAATATTATCGGTAATATTTTTATAAATAATTTATATTTTGGTCTAAGAGGTAATCAAATCTATCAACAAATCTCGTGAATAAATTAAATATAAATTAAAATCAGTAAAAATAAGAGTAATATACAAAACGACATATTATAGGTCAAAATTTTATAATCCACGTCAAAGGAAACAATTTATGGTGCAATAACACGATATTATTTTTTTCGTAGGTAATCCAGATAGATATCAATTTAAGTAAATATATGTGGTATATTTAGATAATATTTCAATCTAAAATATATTAATTTAGTTAAAATATTATTAATTGATTAAGATAATTACAGAAATTATATGTTTAATTTTTTTTATCCTTTTATATATATATATAGTAATTTGTTAGCTGGATCGTGAATAAAAAAATTATATTTACTAAAAATAAGTAAGAACAAAAGGTATGTGTGTGTGTGTATATATATATATATATATATATTCCATTTTATAAGCATAATATTTAATTATTTAAAAATACTTGCGTGTGGAAGAAAAAGAAAATTAATTGCTAATAATTATTGACCAATTCTAGGAGACGGGCTCTGAGTCAAGCAACGAGGTCTCGAATTTAGGATACGAACAAATAATTTGGAGATATTTATTTTAATTAATTTTACTTGGTCAAAGGAAAAGGGTATTTTCGTAAATTGTTAAGGGGGAGCTTAGGAACAGATAAGAAAGGACATATTGGGGATTAAAGGAAATGATGAAGGGTAGTTCGGGAAAATAAAATAATGGCTAGAGGCACCGACGAATCGGTGATGGGATAGTCGGGCACCCACCTACGCGTGTGGCGCTCTGATCAATTTTGAACGTTTTATCAACCAGACCAATAATTTAATTAATTAAACGATTAAGGAAAATTAAATATTTTTGGATTGGAAAATAAATTAATAAGGGATTTTTTAAAAGTTATTTAATATTTCCTTCACCCGCCTATTTGTATGCATCGCGGATATTTATATAATTGAGGTTGCAGATTTCGTGGCGGGAGACGGGGTATGGTTTTTTGCTCGGAATACTGTTGCCGTTGCTTCCAATCTGTCCATAATTATCTATGGCGTCAACTCTCCTCCGTTCGGCTCTGTCCTCAGCCAGAAAGAAGGAGGAGCCTACGAGAATAGGTATGCGACGATCTCGTTTCACCATGTTTACATTCAGAAATGAATTTGTTGAGATTTTGGTAATGTAGTTCGTTAACTTGATCTTATCTGTTCTCTGGAACTGTGCATCTGGTTTGTTTTTTATTCTAGGTTGTTTTGATTTTCGTTTAATTCATTTTGTTTTTGGTTTCGGCCTGGAAAGTTGTGTTATCGGCTACTGGTTTATTTGATTGTGCGACTTTTTGGATTGCTTTAGAAGTGAGTTAACTGTACTACGGGCTTAAGTAGTTTAGGTTGTTGAATGATTATTGATATTTATTTGCTAGATATCGATTCATTCTGCGGAGGAAACTAACGAAGTATGATGCTCTTAGAATTGGTAGGAGTTATCGTGTCATTTTTATTTGGCCAGTTAGTTTGGTCTTCGTCTTGCTTTTATGGCCAGTTAGTTCGCTGTTTCTTACTTTGTTAGTGAATAAAAGCATGAAGCGCGATTTTAATAGGCAGTCTATTTTGAAGCATTTTGCAGATTTTAGTTGATACTAATAATCACCTAGAGATTTGACAGTCGAACTGTACCACTAACCTCTATGGAATGCTTCTTAGCATAGTTTAATTACTTCCGTTTTAGATTCCTTGAGACTTCGGATTTACTCGATATGAATTCAGTATATAGCTAGCGACGACGGATTTGCAATTTCTATTTAAACTTTAAAGTACAGTTGTGTTCTTTAAGATTTCTGAGTGTAAATTAAACTTTCCTTTGGAGTTTTCGGCTTCAAATGGACAACGGCTAATGAACAAGGATGGAAAGCCTTTTGATTGTTTTATTGTATCAATTATAGCGGTTGCTTTATCTTGGTGTAAATGTTACTACACTAGCTTTAGCAGTTATAGTCTTAATGATCTTTTGGCCTTTTTTTTTTATCTGCTTTAGCCTGGAGTTTAGATTTCCTTCCCTTTTGTTGTATTTCATCCTACCAATCTGTTTACTATTAAAGAATACAAAGAAGAAAAAAAAAGGTGCATATTTCAATCCTTCGAAAGCGCATGACCGACATAGCTTTCTTTATTTCTGATCGTTTGGATTTGGCCTGGCTGACCGTTTATTCTATGCGGCATTATTACATTGGCTTAAAAATTATGATCACACTGTAGTGAATACCTTATCAAACGAAGGCTAAAGGTTAAAGATTGTGCCCCCATTCCTTTTCTTTCCTCTCATTATTCAGCTTCCAGAATATTCTTAATTGTTGCGCTTATGATTAAGTCAGCATTTAAAGGGGAAATAATTTTATTCTTGTGTTAAATGCTTGTCTCTACTGTTTCAATTACGCAAGCCTATGACTTTATTTTCCCCAATGCGTAATCCAGAAATATTAACATCGAAACATATTCGTATTCTGTATTTTGGAATATATTTCCTCCATTGATAACAATTGCATTGTAATGTTGTAGATGGGCATTTGTAGTCTGATCTGATCATGTTGTTATTTGTGAAACTTCAGAAAAATTGAGGAGCAGAAGCCCGAAGAGCAGAGATTCAAGGCAAACAAGAACAAGCCTATCATGACAGAGTAATAATAGAATATGTATGTTCTAGATCATATTGTAGTCGAGTTCGAATTATTTTAATAGAACCAGTTTTCATCTTCCTTTTATGATTTTATAAACATTTTTCCGTGGGAGCCTCATGGGTTGGAATGGGCAAGATTATTTCCTGCGAAACCAAAAGGTTCGACATTGAGTCAATCTGCCTGGCAAAGAGTAACAATTCCGAGTCTTTGTTATTGAAGCCTGAAGGCGTGATATAATCCAAGCATCTCTTGTCTTTTATGATTTTATCTGTTGGCCAGGCCTTTTATTTCAATTTATGACAGTTTTATCACTGGAAAATGCTTTGTTAGTACGGTTGATGGATAATGAAGCAAAGGCTTGATGTCTTTAATGATTGTTGATGGGGTCGGTGAGTGACTGGAGAAAGGATTATAATTGGTCGGTTTCATCCTTTTAATTCCTTTTTGACTGTTGATTGAACGCAGGACAAGCAGGAATATAATTGTGTAACATTCGCATTGGACAAATACAAATGGAGAAGAATCCTTCTTTTTTGGGCGATGGGAACATATCTTAGCATTGTCAACCTTGATGGGCCCATCCCAGTAAAGCATCCGAAGCACCATTATTGCCGTCCTGGCACTGGACACAAGCATCGTAAGTAACAATATTAAATTACAGAGAAACTTCCCTCGTGACTACAACTTTTCTTTTCTTGTCTGTGTTTTTCTTATTGAATTAAATACGTATGGCTACATGTAAAGGGGATGAAAAAGCATTCATTAGGCGTAAAAGAAATAGGAAAATACCCACTTCAGTTTGTTGAACTTTTACCTCCTTTCCTTTTCACGAAGAGCTGCAATGGACTGTATGGACATGTGTCTGATTTGCAGCTGCTATTGCAATGCACTCAAGTAGGCATTATCATTTTGTTGTTTCTTTTATAGCCATCAAAAGTCCAATTCCCACACTACACCCTTTTTCCTCATGGATTTACTTTAGGCTTTGAGTGGATAAATCCAGTGATAATAGTTCTCTTAAATTTAGCATTTAGGTTATGGCTGAAGATTTTCAGTGGGATAGGAGGGTTTATTTAAAGAAAAATACATATTTGGCTTGACACTTTTAGAGTTGATATCTTTTTAGTTGATGAGATTTTAAAGGGTACATTTTGTTGCAAATATTTGAAAGATGGTTCTAAATTTTCCTGTTGTGGTGATAAATTTTAATGAGGCAAAGGTTTTATTAGTTTTATATTATTTTTTTTGTATAATAAATTTACGTTTGTACATTTTGTTACAACCCTTTTTCCTCATGGTTTTTTTTCTCTCCTTTCTCTTTTTGTAGTACAACTAATGCGGATGGTGAGAATTTGAATCTCCGACTTCAATGTAAAAAGTACATGTAAGTTACCTATTATACTCACTCATCTTCCTTTCCTTTTGTCTTCTTTTGGGATCAAAATGATTTTTTTTCTATATTATTTTTGTCAATTGCTTTAACTGTATTAATTGAAGTGTGTGAATTTATTAATATATCATGACTATGAACTAATTTTTTATTTACCTAGTTTGACATTTCTGGTTGAAAATGAGAGATTTATTCCTTTTTATCTTGTTTCTGCCACTTTTATGTAAATCTAGACAAAATTTTTCTGCTCTATGGAGGTGCCAATCTCTTACCAGGGCTGATTGTCCACAAACGTATCCATTTTATCCTTTACCAACTCTGACCTTTCCTTTCCTTCTGTTTTTTCTATTGTCTTTTTTCCTTAAAGGCCTTCCTTTCTTTTTCTTTATAGTATTTGGTGTTTTCCAAAGATACAAGCTCCGTTTCAATCTATTTGATAACAACTTCTCTAAACTTTTAGGAATGTATGAGGTCAATCAAGTATATCAAATGTTGAGTAAATCAAAACTAATAAATCAAAAAACTTATTAAAGCCACAATCGACTAGTTTTAAGCTTACATTTTTTTTACTTCAATATTATGTGTGTGAAAGAAATTCGATTATAATGTCGTATCTAGTCTATAATTGATTCTTATAATTATGTCAATGATCAATGATTTTTTTTTTTTTTCAAGAATATATAGATAACTTGCCTACAAAGTGTCAAACTTTTGTTAATAGGAACATAGTTCTATTTTTATTATCAATGAGCTATGCTCATTGTGATTATAGTGCAACTAGTTAAAGCGCAAATTTTAATTAAGAGGTTGAAAGTTCTATATGTGATACTCATTCTAGTCCTAGTTCAATTAGTTAAAATATATATTTTCAACTAGATCGTTAGAAGCCTCACACTACATTTTTTTTTTTTTTAAATTCTCATGCTCTACTATTTTAATATTTGATATATTTGATTTTCTTCGCCTACAAAATTCTAAACCATGAAATAGTTACTTAAAAATTAGAATTAAAAAATAACGATGATGTGATAGAGATTTAATTTTTAAATCTTCTTTTTATAACCAGTAGCCAATCAAGCCATATAAGAATGACGAGGAAATGAAAGGAAAGAAAATTATGAAAAAAATTAACATAATAATAAGGTAGGTAGTTAGGTTAATAAAATATATGATATTAAGTAATAAGGTAGGTAGTTAGGTTAGTAAGATATATTGATATAAGAGGCACAGGCAGACAAAAAGTTTCTATAGGTCTGCCATTTTCCCTCCATTGTTCGTTGCTGACTCCTCTTTTTTGTTCTCTCTCTTTCTCTCTCTCTCTGATTCAGTTCTTTCCTTTATTCTCGCCGCTCTCTCTCCCAATTCTCCACCCTTCCTTTTCTCTCCTCTCCACTGCAACACCAAGACCAACAAACTCCCCCATCATCCGCCATTGTTACAGAGCTTCAAAAACAGAGAGAGAAAAAAAGCAAAAAAGAAAGATCATAACAATGTCTGAAATCTCCATCTCCAAGAAAGAATTTGGACTGTCCTCTGTTGTTCTTCAGTTCTTCCATTTCGTCTTCTTCCTTCTCTCTCACCCTCTTTACTTCTCTTACTTCATCTTCTTCTTCCCTTACTTTCTCAAGCTTCTTTCCTTTCTTTCTCCTCTCTTCTTCACCACTTTTCTCCTCCTCTTTGCCTTCTTCACTCTGCTTCTCTCATCTTCCTCTGATCTTCACCTTCACTGTGTTCGTCAATTTGCTGACAATTCCAAGATGGGGTTTCTTGCTACTACTTACCAAGTTGTTTTTGACAGTTTGCGTCCAAGAACGCCGGAGGAAATCGATGAATTTCGCCCCATGGAAGAGCTTGAAGCTTATAAAATCGTGTTTGAGACTTACACTTTTGGTACTGAACAGAATCTCTATGGCGGTGAGGATAGTGAATTCAATGTCCCGGAAGTGGAAGTGGAAGTCGACTATGAAGAGTCGATGGGGGATTTTCCCGGGAAAATCTTGGATGTGGAAATCGACTGTGAAGATTCCATGGAGAATTTTCCCGGGAAAATCTTGGACGTGGAAGTCGACTGTGAAGAATCGATGGAGAATTTTCCAGGGAAAATCTTGGATGTGGAAGTCGACTGTGAAGAATCGATGGAGAATTTTCCCGGGAAAATCTTGGACGTGGAAGTCGACTGTGAAGAATCGATGGAGAATTTTCCAGGGAAAATCTTGGATGTGGAAGTCGACTGTGAAGAATCGATGAAGAATTTTCCCGGGAAATTCTTGGATGTGGAAGTCGACTGTGAAGAATCGATGGAGAATTTTCCAGGGAAAATCTTGGATGTGGAAGTTGACTGTGAAGAATCCATGGAGAATTTTCCCGGGAAAATGGAGGTTTCCCCGGAAAACCCCTTGGCCTACGAGAATGAAGCGAAAACAGGGGAATGCGAAGAAAAAAACGAAAAGAAAGAAGAGATTCAGGATTCATCGAAGGCGATTGAAAACGAAATGATCAAAAATTTGAGGAAACTGACAGAAGAATCATCGATTTCTTCAAGATCGGAATCGAGTCCATGGAGTTCACCGGGGAGTTTCAGCAGAGATTATTCGCTCGGAAGTTACGGATCGATGAGGAAGGAGAAAGAATGGAGAAGAACACTCGCGTGCAAGCTCTTCGAAGAGCGACACAATTCAGAAGGAACAGAGGGGATGGATTCGCTATGGGAGACATACGAGAAGAGCGAATGGAATAAATTGCAGAAGAATGAGAAAATCAACGCGAAATCGAAGAAAGGGAAGAAACTTAAAGGCAAAGAGGAAGATGAAGATGAAGATGAATATGAAGATCGAGAAGGGCAACTTTGCTGTTTACAGGCTCTGAAATTCTCGGCGGGGAAGATGAATTTGGGAATGGGGAGACCTAATCTCGTGAAAATGTCGAAAGCTTTGAAGGGATTCGGATGGTTGAGTAGACATGGAAGTAGAAAGAGATCGGTCCATTGATCCATTCATCCATTGTTTTAGGGTTTTGGTTCTGGTTCTGGTTCTGGTTCTTCATTCTACACTGTTAATGGCGGTTTCTTCTTCTTCTTCTTCTTCTCTGTTCATCATCATCACAATTCTCCATTTTCATCTCCTTGTTTTTTGGGTGTGAGGTTTTTCCCCCTTCTGATTCATCTGTTCAGTACATATTTTAATTCATCAACCCCGTGTATTCTAATTCCAAATTAGATGGGCTCCGAACCAATGTCTTACATCATCTAGTGATTCGCTCTGATACTATACTGCTAGTAGATATTATTTGTTTTAGCTCATTCTATATGGTTGTCACTCTCACAGTTTTAATGGAGAGAATTTAGCTCTACTCTACTAGTGTCTCACACATTTTAAGGACCTAAGGACCTGATACCATTTGTAACAGTCAAAGTTGATTGTCAATAGATATTGTCTACTTTAGTTCATTGCGTATCATTGTCAACCTGATACCATTTGTAACAGTCAAAGCTAATTGTCAATAGATATTGTCTACTTTAGTTCATTACGTATCATTGTCAGCTTTATTATTCTAAAACGCGTATACTATAGAGAGGGTCTAGCCTTATAACTCGTTATATATCGTAGTCTATCTCACAATTTTAAAACGCGACTGTTAGTGATAGGTTTCAGTAAGAGTGAACGAAAAATAACTATATCGATTGTTAATGGTTGATTCTGAAAGTTACTGCATTATTGTTAATCTAAAAAGTTAAAAGATTTGTTGAATCTTGAAATTATTCTAACAAGAATCATCTTTAATTTCCTTTTTCCCCTTTCACTTTTCTTACTTTTACACCCACCGAAATCCACTCTCTAGAAAATATTATTTATTTTTTAATTAACAACTAATTAAATCTCATAAAATTAGGATATATTATTGATTAAACACTCCCCAACGTGGTTAAACTAATTTCTTTTTATAAAATTAAACCCAACAATTTAAAAAAAAAAAAAAAAAAAAAAAGATGAAAATAGTTTATGGGCCTAAAAGGCCAACTCATGTCGGCCCATATATCACTAGTATAAGAGCCCAAAACTAAGGAGTCCAATCCAAAACCTTGTTCAAAACCGAAAACATTTCTTTTATATAAAACTATATATAAATAGAAACAATTAGACGTTGAAGAAATCAAACGAGAGTACAAAACGAGGGAGTCTAATCCAACGTCCCGTTGAAAACCTAATTTCTTTGATCAACTCAATTCTGCCCTACTCCTCCGTCAAATTCCTCGCCGTCGCTTCGCCGGATTCGAGCCAAGGCGACGGCGCGGGAGGTTTGATTATCAGAATTCAGAGAAAAGAAGCTGAGAGGTACGGACTTAGGTTTGCGATTCGCAAAGAAGACGGAGGAATTGAGGAAAATTTTGCGAACGGGAGATAGAAAGAGGTTGCTACGAAGTGGAATTAAAGTGGAGAGTTAGGGCGACTCGAAGTCCTCGCCAAATTAAGGTGAGCACCTGACATTAGGTTTTCTTGTATTACTGTTTGCATTTAGGGAAGGAGATCGGAGGAAGTTAAGGAAAGTTGCTTCTCGTTTTGACCGTTTTTCCTTTAATGTTTCCTAATGTAGGCTGTTTAATCATTGAAGTTTTCGCGGAATCTATACATTACGCACTTTTTCTGGAGTAATTTAGTGGAGGATTTCTATGGAAGAGGCGAAAGAAATTTTGAAGGATAACAGAATTGAAGATATCAGTTGGCTTTGCTCGTTATCTGAATCAGAGCTTGTAAGTTCCATCTGGAATTTTTTGTATTAGACACCGACTCATTTTATGGTGTAAGCTTTTCTTACAAATATCGAGCATTCTTCTTGTGGTTGTTGAATAGCCACGCGAATTTTTATATTTTTTCCTGAATTTTATTTGAAAGGATTAATGTCTTTTACTTGATTTTGATAAAAATGGACGACGATCTGTATTAGTATTTCCATGTACTGTCAAACTCAAAAGTACATTCAGTATGAGCTGTGTGGTTCGGATCATATGCTTATTGTTTCTATATATGATGTATGTGGCAGGACTTTTTGATTAGCATTAAAATGCTAGTTCTCCAGCGAGCAAAAGTAATTGGCCATGAAGATCTAGCTGAGAAATTTGATCTGAAGACATTACGTGCTCTAGGTATTTCTACTTTCTGTGTTGTATTTCTTGTATTTGTGTTTCCTCTAATTATCTTATCATTGCCAGAATGCTAGTGTAAACTCTCGCCTCTCTAGCATCCCTAGTGTACGGACACCGTGTTGCTTTCTGTGTGCTGGTTTCTGTGTGCTGTCTACTATATTAGTTGCTGAACAATTTTGCATCTATGGCACTATCTAACTAATTTTGCATTTATGGCACTATCTAACTAATTTTGCATTTATGGCGCTATCCATGCAGGGTTTATTTTGATGGAGCATCTTAAAGGACAACTTAGTGTGTCAAGTGTCCCAGATCAGTCTCAATTTTCTGCCTTAAATGGGTCCAACTTATTAGACAGCAGTCTTGAGAAAATTTTGTCAATTGATGATATAATGGCAAGCATCTGTTCTGAAAGAAGGAAGAAACCTGGAAAAAGGTTGGTACTAACTACAAGTTGTTGCTCTTTATTTGCAAGCATAGCAAAACATCATATTATTATAATTATTATTATTAGTTCAATCACATTTGAGGTGGAGGGATTAGTACCATTGACATCTTTTACAAAAAATGGGGGTTCATGTCAAATATCTCATATTATTTATTGCATTGTTATTTTGTAACTTTTGCGTAGATATATTTTTTTTTATAAAAAAAAAAAGATATTTTCAGCCATCATGGTTTTCATATAAACTTGGTACCGATGCATTAGATATCAATGAGATCTTGCCTGTTTCTAATATTTTTTTCCCTTGAATGCCAGAATGGGCGTTCATATCATTAATCTTTCATTCTCTAATTTGAGCTGTTTTCTTTCCATACTAAGTTTCTAAGTTATAGTACTGGATAGGCGTTGTTGCCAAAATCCTGACAAGGTAGTGCACCTAACCTTCACATGACAATGGTAAAATTTGTTCAAGGGGAAAAAATGCAGTATGGAAGACAAGAAAAGCTTGCATATTGGTGTGGTGCTTGCCACATGTCTAATAGTTAAGTTAGCTAGGAGGAATTTAGTTTAGCAAGAATTGTAGGAATTGGAAGAACTTTGGACTTAGTTGGCTTTCCTTCTCCCAATAGAAGAAAGTGATTATATCCCCGGTTTTGTTGATTCTTTCTGGGTTAGGGTAAAAGAGGATTGGAATTATTGGGCGGGACTAGGATCACACGAATCAGGGAATGTCGGACTTGTGCCGATAAGGAAACTTTGCTTGAGCCCAAGTTTCTTTTCTTTCTTTTTATTAGTGGCTGTGACCCAACTTTCTTCATGTTTAGCTTGTTTTTCACTGTGTGGGATTTTTGAAATGTAATCACTATAAGAGCTACTGAAAATAATGATCCACATAAAAGAGATGCATAACCCAATACCATCATACTTACGTGCATCATTAACCAATGAGATTGGAGAGCGGGAACTAATAGTGGGGATTGATGCATTTCAGTTAAAAAACCTGAAGTAGCAAAACCTTGGGTAAAAATCGTACTTGGTGCAGTTATTGCGCTTACACTTAAATGGTTTTTATATTTTTTTAAATACGTAAATAGATGAATAATGGAGAAACCCCATGAAAGAAATAGTAATGATTCATATAAATCACTTAATGGTAAATGCCTCAAATAAATCCAACGAGTAACTAATAATCCTGTTATACAGAAAAAAGTAGCTATCATACCCTTTTCTGACGAAGCATAGAGTCCGGATTTTTTAGTCTCATTTGGTCCTTGACTTTCATGGTCTTTGTGCTTGTCCGTATGGTCCAATTTTACCTGGAACAACAGACTTGAATTAGAGAGTGAAAGTATAGCAACATGGAGTTCAAAGCATAATTTACTTCATAATTAAAGCAACACAGACTTGACGGAATAATTTACTTTTTCCTGACCTACATCTTTTTATTTTTTGCTACCTTCCTTCATTGTATGAATTTGGTTCATTCCATTTTATTTTCTATAATATTTATAGATTTACTAATTGAAATGCCATCACTTAAATTCTTTAATCTACATAACTTCTGCGTTGTGCTTTTAAGTTAGTGCTGTTTTTCCCAATTTGTAAAGCCAACTTGAATCCAATATCTCTCATCTTTTCCCCCTCCCTCTCTCCCTTTTCTAGGTCGCGGCCGAAGGCTGATTCTAGACCAAGGAAGAAGTTGTGAATTAGAAAATGGCAGAAGTAGACACAGATTCATGGAGGTTGTCTTGGCCTAACTGATGGAACAATGCAGCTCCCACATTGCGAGACTTGGCGGTAATCCTGCAGCCATGATCACGCAAACAATTTTGTTAGCCTTTACTGTAATTGTTGTTGCGTCAAATTGTGTATTGTCTATCATGGCGTCAATCAGTAATCAGGTTCCACTATTGTTGTATTATTTCTATTTTGTAATAGTGTATGAAGCAAAGGAACCATTACAAATAAGTCGATGTTTTATTAATTTTTCGAGCTCAATCTGCTTTCATTTAATTGAAACCTCTCATGAGTTATGATACTTGTATCTATGACATCACAGCTTTACGAAATATTAATGATCTTTTTACATTGGAGCAATGGTGGTGTGAATTGGAGTATAATTCAATTCTTATTTCTTGTTATAAGGTTGAAAACTTTATATCATACTGATGCATTCCCTTTTTTCTAGAGCTCTAATATTCCGGAGGATGGCTCTACATCAATGAGTTCGAGTAATGGTGACCATCTGTTTAGAACAATAACATATGAGGTACTTCAACAACTTAGATAATGATCAACCCCAATAGAACATTAGAATGATATTAGCATTGGAACTAGTCTCTATATGTAATAGTTGAAACTCTATATCTGAATGCCTTCGAAAATGTTCTCTGAAAATATGCACAAAGCCAAAAGTTTTGGGGCCTGGAAGAGCCCTCAAATAAGACGTTAAAGTACTTCGGTACAGATCCTCTCCTGCCCCAAGGTTTCAATATAAAAAAAAACACGTTAAGCTGTTAAGATCTAAGATCAAATGCTTTCATCTGATTGCAGATGGTATTCCATTAGTAGGAAGAACAGTAATGTGTCTCAAAGGGTGAGAAATTTCTTCGCCCCCGGCGTGCTTGACGAACTCGGCTGGTGAAAAGGATTCTCCATGGCAGACGCACAAAATACTGACCTCCAAGTTGGAGTATCTGTACAAGAATCCAGT